GAAATTGATCATTTTCACGCAGGCTATTTGGTTCTGATGACCAAACTCAGACGTTTTGTTCTCGGTGTTCACAAGTCCCCCTTAAAAACGTATAATCGTTTGTTGTTTACCTAACATATAGGTTTAGCGATAAAAATCCTAAAAGTTGTAATTGTTTAAAGGCCTAAAATCAAAAGTTAGAGTTTTTAGTAAAAGCGAACTCTTAATGGCATTCTTGACCTTGATCATATTATGAAATCGTTGTTTTAATCTGTCATCTTCTAAGGGTACGTCTTTTGGTGTCGAGGTGCTGCCTTGGGGTTGTTAATTCTCTCCAATTCTATTCTTCAAGTTTTCGTTTTATTTTTGCTCACATTTTTCACAGTTTGTTTGATCTGTTTGAAACTTTTTTTGATTTTTTTTCTGTCGTATTGTCACCCAACGCGGCATTTTCTTTTTTTAAATTTTTTAATGTTGCTTTTTCTTTACTACCGGGGTTGCATTATTACCAATTTGTGTTATCAGGCTCCTTCCCTGGATAATTACATGCTGCTCATTTTGTGTAGTCCCCGCGTTTTAGTGTTGATATTGCCTCTTGGTATTTTTTTGAAGACATTTGCCATAACTTTATTTTTTTGCGTTTTTTTTTAATTGAGATAAATTTAATCCGTTTTCATGGTTTTTATCCCTATTTATGTGACTTTAGTAATCTCTGTGTTCATGCTTTGGATTAAGATGATTCAAACCAGTTTCAGTTTACATTTATCTATAAGCCACTCCTTTAGCAAATTTTGTTAGTTATCCCTAACGGGCATGGTGTAAAACTAAATGTTGAGTTTTCTTGCATAGAAAATTACCTGATAAGATTGTTGTCTTCTTTTACAAACTCGCGTTTGTCCGTGTTCTGTTGATTAAAGTCGAAGCATTTGTCGTCGAAGAACATTGTGCTTTATTTTCGTTAATTGTTAATTTTATATTTGTATTGACTTCACTTAATTTGAATCCCCCTTAGCATGCTATTTGTCCGTCTTATTCACATTTTTGTCCAAAGCGACGTTTAATAGCCCTTCGCCGGCTACTCTTATCTAAGTTGTTTTTATGATTTTGTTTTAGCGCGTTTTCTAGTAGGAATTTAAGTTTTTGCAATGTTGCAACTTCATCCTTATGCTTTATTAAACCATTTTCATACCGGGAATTTGGTAAATGATTAATTCAAGTCTGTGTAAAACTAATAACTCAGAAAATGTATACGTGGGAGTAACTTACTCGCAACCCAAACAGAAGTTGGGAGCGTTGGCCACCGACCTAACTAGCGGTTATAGGGTGACACCTTTCCCAATGCTTTGCGCTTTTCACTTTTAATTTTCCTGTGTCAAGATCTTTCTCTCGTTAAACTTTTAAAAGTAGAACTTTTTTATCCCGTTTTGTGATGTTGCTTTTTTGGACGGATAACTGAAACCATTCTAATCTCAATCACTGAACTTCCATGAGCTAGAGTCTGATGTTTCTTCTTCCTCATTCCAGATCATAAATATATATTTCTAACTTGAGCTTTGAACTGCCTCGAATACTCGATTACTTAGCCGAATTCGAGCAGCCACTTGAGCTCTCAGTAGTCTTGTTTTAGCATTTACACTTGTAACCAGTCACCTGGTGAACCCACACGAAAATAGGCAATTAAGCAAACTGGAAAGTCGACTACATTGTTTAAAAGACTGTTTAATAGATGGCAGCGTGTTCGAGCTACGACAGTTTTTGTCTCCGGTTTCGAATAATTCGAAAATTTTCATTACGCCTAACATGCTACCATTGCTTTGACACGCTGTTTCATGCAGGTTGTACCCTCTAACGTCTTTTTACTTTTAGAAATGATTATTCCCATCAGATGCTTTACATGCGGCAAAGTTGTGGGCGACAAATGGGAGTCTTATATTGTTCTACTCCAAGCAGAGTACGCCGAGGGTGATGCCTTGGATACACTTGGTCTCCGACGTTACTGTTGCCGGCGAATGATCCTCTCCCACGTAGACCTTATCGAGAAACTTCTCAACTATGCACCCCTTCAAAAATAAGAGCGCTTTATGTACATAAATTCCCAACCTGGCATTGTTATACTACGTGGCGGGATGTAATGGTGTCGAGAAGTCTGTTTTAACGGCCACTTCATTGTGCTTTTGCAAACAGTGGATGGTTTAATTTGTATTTATTTGGGTATGAAAAGAAATAATATCTAATGAATACGTTATGGGAGGTTATGCTGTTTTCGTCAAAACCCAAACCATCGTCGTACAGCTGAAAAGATGCCGCCTGTGCCAGTCTTTTGATCCGTGGGTCCCATGATTGCCGGTGGATTATCGACCCTCAGTGCTAAGAGAAAAAAAGTTATTTGTAACAATGTGGAAACAGACTGCAATCAGTAAAAAAAACAAATCTACAAAAGGCACGGGACTTGCTGCGGTTTTGGGGAGTGGGGTTTGCTACATAAAATAGAGGGCGGAATAACTTTCTTCCAAACATCTGACGATTGCTTCCCCAGGACAAATATGCCGTAGAGTGGATACACTCGGGATCGTTAAGCATAGTTAATTAAGTGCGCGGAGCGCAATGGATCCGATATGCTAGCATTGCATTTAGCACGAAAATGCCTATTTTGTATAAAAGGCATCGGGGAGTAAGTGTGGGAAAACAGGGCAGTCCGGCAAAAGTTTACTTTTTAATATGGCTCCTAACTAGAAATCCACATTTGAAACCCTTGTACTGAATTGGAGTTTGACTGGCTTACCTCCTCGCGTTTCGGTTCTTGATTCCTGTCGTCCATCCGGATAAATGGTGGTCGTAGTGGTAACCTCGCTTCCATTTCGTCTTGATACTTCTGTGTTGATAATAACTCCGTCAGGCTGCTTTACCGAAGTCTTTAGCGATTCGTACTAAGTAAGGCAAAACCGTTTTTCTGAATGCTAGTGACGAGTGTTTGATGAGTGCAAATTATAAGTACGGAATCACGAAATTTACGTGATTTAAGTTTAAAAAATGTCAAAGAACAAATGACTTTACGTGTTTAAAGGGGACTTGTGAACACCGAGAACAAAACGTCTGAGTTTGGTCATCAGAACCAAATAGCCTGCGTGAAAATGATCAATTTCTCAATATTTGCAAGCTTGTCTTATTAATGACAAAGTGAGGGAGCAGGCTCGCGGATTGGTGTTGAGGTATTACTACAAAACGGAACTAACTAGGAAAACTACCAAGAATATACCCCACCGGGACTAGCTCTGTGGAAAAGCACGTTTTATCGAATAGAGAAGAAGGACCTTACATATTCACCACGAGAATCGGAGGAAAATGAGGAAGATGATGAGAAAACAGAGCTGGAGAAGAAAGATTGCTCAGGCTGGTTATCAAGGATGACGTCTCTTCTGGGATGATCCTAGAACAAAACCAACTGCTTATGTTCAAGTTACGAGATCAATTGCATGAAGTTATCATAGCAAGTGTTCAGAGAATAAAAATGATAAACGACATATGGGTTAGTAACATATGACAACAAAAGAATAACTCACAGTAAGGACATGGCCTGGTGGCGAAACGTAAGGGACATTTATGTCACCTTAATTTGTAAAAGTTGATATAAAGTAAGTTACCCTCAAAAAAGTCCCTAAATATGCGGGAGATATCAAACTCCTAAAAAGGAAATAAGGTGGCTGAATATAGAGTCATACCGGGTCCTGGCGCAGCATTTCGTCTCGCGGAGACCGTGGCTGTGAAAAGCCAACTGAGTAAGATAAAATTCTAGTGATAAAATTAACTTACAAGGAAACCCCATTTGATTTTCCAACGGGTCAAATATGGGCTCAAATATTGGATCCATGAAAGGCCTTGACATCAAACCAATCAACTGTCGATGTGGCCAGATCAAGACCATCATTGAAAGAAAAAGAGTAAATCAAGCAGAATATTTCCTTTTTAGCTTTGTGTAGGCAGCTGCATTACCTGTAGACTTTATATTTCCATGGATCTAGTTTCGCTCGTATATCGCATGCGGTAACACTTTCGTTGAAAGGTCAGTGGAGGGATTTATGTCTACATTGCGTATTTTTGAGACCTCTTCCCAATCCCTTGTCCCTTGTGGCCTCGTTTGAAGTACATCATGTGTAAGAAAGGACATATGAGGGGATAGTGGCGTGTAAGCAACCTCTTAAGATCGTGGTCCTTGCATCAGCCGTATTCACGTTAATTCTGATTTCATTTGCTTGCCATGAGTGAATTGCCATTTCGTCGGATAACGTAACTCCTGCTCGACTTCCTGTGTATCGGCGTGAACTCGTGGAATTTTGCTTACTATGTGCTATGTAAACATTGTCTTTGTGTATAGGACAAACACACAGAAGACATGGCACAAATATGTGTTGCGTGTGAAGTAACGGCTGTATTTCTGCCATCACCGATTTTCAAACAATCCACCGGATTTCGCGGATCACCTCTTGCCGTAACCTGGCGCTATCCAGTGGACATGGAAAACCCACGCACGAGCGTAATTCTGAGAATTTACGAAAGTACTTAGAACCGTACTTGTACACTGATTGATCTGTGAAATCGCAATTTAAGTCCATTGAGCCCTAAATATCAACCGGAATTAGTGCGCAGAGGGAAATTAAATGAAAGAAGTATGGTGTGCTAGGTTTCTAGTGGAGTTTTAATATGGATACATCCTATTCGGCGTTCCTTAACAATTAAATGTTTCAAGAACTACTATTGGCAGAGAATCGCCTGCGAGATACATCCACGAGAAGCAGGCAATGATCTCAATGGGATATGCTGTGGAAAGTGACGCAAGGACATGTTTACTGGTTGATTCATATTTCTCAAAATAGCACACCATTAAGAATCTTTTCAAGTACGCAACATTTATGTGGCTTTGAACGTTCCCCTGTATTTAGATTCCGGGTCCTATTAGAAAGACTGCTTAGATTGAGGTTTAAATAATTGGTGAAAACTGCACTTCCCACATACAGGCTGGGTAAAGCAAATTTTAGCAATGAAGTCCAATTTTGACAAAAGGTGTGTTTGACTGTCTGGGATGTCAAAAGTGCTGTCAGCCGTCGGCCCATGAAATTAATCCACCGCTTGATCATCCGTCAGCTATTTGACAGAACCTAACACGGAAAGGGACTCCTAACAGAAGCAATGACGGAATATTCCGGTTTCGAAAGCAATTTTTTTCTGTCGATCCAAAATCAACTTAAGCTCAGGCTCTGTGGAATTAAAAAGAACTACAGGTAGCGGGAGCATTTAAATCCCGCAGTGCAAATTCGCAAACAAGACAATAATTCGCCTTGCAATTAACTACATGGTACTTTAATGACAGGACATCTCTGTAAAACAGGTTGCGATCACGATTTAGGCACTCGTTGCACCTCCGTGGCGTGCTGCAATTTCGACGGTATTCCACAGCTATAAAAATTAGCCCTAGTGAGTTTGGGAATGGGTAAGGTTAAGCATGGTATAAGTAATTGTAGCTGAGTATATTTACTAGACGCAGGTAGCTGTCTCATTATTCAGCGCTTCTTTTGAGACTTGACAGGTCCAATGATCATTAAATGTTGTGTCCAACACCAATATTCACACGACAGCACAACATTCAGTTGAAGCATTCACTGGTCAAAACACTAATAGATCTTCTCCAGTCTTTACGGAAGTCTTCATGCCCACAACCAGACATGACATCTGAAATGTGCTTATTTTTCCTTGGTTTCTATCTAATCGCAGCACAGTTTACATGGTCAGCGGGTTTCAAGATATTGTAATTGCACTCGGACACGATTTATAGCTCTCAGGTCCGAAACATGCGACACAATTGCTACACCCACAACTGTTGAACCGAGTCATTGTATTGCAGAAGTAAAAAGCATACACATGGAAATGCAGATTCCTTCTCAAATTTCTCTGCACAATTGTCGGGAATACAAGAACAAACTATTAAATTCACTATTTGGGTGATGAGCTGCCAACTACTGGTAAAATTTGTTTGAAGAAACAAACTCTTCTCTCCGGAACATTTTGCAGACACTTGACTGGGTCATGTGAAGCTTAAAAGAACGTAACTGGTCAAATTTGATTTGACCTAACAATTTGACCTTTTGGGGGGAGGGGGGACCTAAACTGAAGTGAACGTGACGGCTAGACTGCGTCAATTGTGGTCACTGCCATTACCTCAATCTCGATGTCCCCAAAGCATGTAAAATCCACTGACGAGGTGTTTTGACGATGGCATTGTAGCCTCAGTGTGGCATAGTACAGCATAGCGTGGCTTCCGACAAACAATAAAGCATTGTTGCCTATATAAACGAAACTACTAAACAAAATCGGTGGACCCATTTCTTGCTCGTTAGCTGAGGTAATCAGTAGGAATTAAGATAAATGTCTATTCATTTTAAAGAGACGAACAGTCTGTCACAGCTCCCCATTTACTAAATCCAATTATCCACTCCTCTTTGAGAATGTAGTGCCCTTAAATCTCTTCTGCAACGTTGATCTATTTGTGTAAACGCAAATGGGTGAGGTGAGGCTGGTTTGTTAAGTTTTGTTGGGGATCCTTGATTCCCACAGATTGGTTTCTTATGCTATTTACATTAATTCACCAAAATTTGTTTTGGTGCGCTTTTTATCAAGTCGAGGTCTACCCTAACTTGAATTAGTTTCGTTTATGACACACTTATCTGTACGTTGCTGATGTGAATGAATTTCTCTACACGAGCTCTGGTCTTGTTCTTCAAGCAGCCTGAGAAGGTGGGATCCAGCTTCAGCTAGGGATCTGGTACCGTTATTTGAGTGGTCTTCTCTTGGTTACGGGCAAACGCGCCAGGCTTTCAGTCTGGTCTTCGTCCGTTCGTTTGGGTCGACATTATTGATGCCCGAAATCCATGAATGACCTTTTAACCAATATAGCCTGCACATTATACCACGTCGGATCAAATTATTACTGGCTTAGAGTTCATGTTCGAAGACCAGAAATACCACACCTAGACGGTGAATGTGTGCATTCAGTCGACCGACAGAACAGCTTGCGCCTGAAGACTTCAACGTCCTTCCGTTAAAGTTCCCAAACCATAATTGTCCAAAATTGGACAACGTAGCCTACTGGTTTACACGGAGCAGCAGGTTACCAGTTCCCTGCGATAGGCGGAGCAATGTGTGCGGCACCTTATGCAGTTATCTACGTTCTCTGTCTTATCTTTGCAACCACATTTTTGCCTAGAAGAGAGGGTATTTCGCTTTCACCAGTGTCCCTAGATATTACCTTCTTCATAAATTTAATTTGATTTCAGGTGCAGTCTGTAGGTCAAGACTAGAAACAAAAATCGCCTCTACAAAATGACATACTAGCAGTGTAAGTGGAGTAATAAATGGACGCGTTGAAGGGTTGGAGGATGCGTAGGCAATGCTGAAAATGCGTCTATTTGTCGTCTCTTCCATGGACATGGCTTGAAACTAGCAACTAAAGACGGCTGGATCAGGCGCGCGTAGTTGGCATGCAGGCACGACTGAGAGCAGCCGATGTCTGCGTTTGTGTGTTTTAAGACGAATATATGCAAGAACTTGCACTATACAGTTCGTGGTCAAACATCTTGCCTAGGGGTCTCCAAGACCACTCTGTTCTGGGTGAGGAGTCAGTCTGAAAGAGCCAGAAAACGAGATCATCTTATTGGAGAGCGTTATGATTAAAATAGGTCTGACGTGAACTCCTGCAGACGTATTCACACAAAATTCACACGTAGCCAAGCAGCTTCTGAATGGTGCAGCTAAAATTAACCACGCGCTATTTGATCGGAGTGTGGCTACTTGGCAGTGGGTGTGAGGTATGGAGCTGCAGACATGAGCACAACTAGGCGCAAAGCGATTTTTATGCCCAACTGCCTTCTGTGGTATAATGGCTGCGTACAATGCTTTGTGTTGCCTTGTGATTGACAGCGCGTAGTTTCGCACTGGGCCAAGGTTGCTTCGAAAATGTGCAATCGACGTCCTGGTGGTCAGGAAACCTGCCAAGTCAAATATTGGTGTGCAACTGGATCGTGTTGAATCCAAATAAAACGTAATCACATTGAGGGCGAAATTGTGTGGCTGTCTTATTGGTGGTCATTTTAAGCAAAGATAAGAATCTGAGCATCGTTTGTTGTCTCGTGTTTGAGTCATTACCAGACGCCACTTTCAGAATCCAGTTGTAAATTGAATCCATATAGCAAGAAATCATGCGTCACAACCTCTCAGCTATTTCATTTAACTCAAAGTACAATTTGATGTGATAATAGCTGAGTAAAGTTATGCGAAGCAAAGCCAACAATCGAGAGATTTTAGTAACGATATGTGGTAATTTTGAGTAGAATCGCTTGTAATGGTAGCTGTGTGTTTTGCTGGTATTGCGATTTTACATTTGCAGGTAAGTATTGGTTGCAGCAAGATTTGCAAACGACCTGCTGGTGCCACAACTGATAGGTGTGATTGCGTGTTTCAAGATAAATGGCAGCAGAATTTGGCTAACACACGATGAGACTTGCCTTCAATCACTCGACGTACCTTCTTTTGCCTCTGTTCTGTTCCCACTTGAATGACCTCACCTGTAGGTGCTAAAATTCAAGGCAACAGATTTGTCATAACAGCTATCTGCCGATAATTCGGCCAGATTTTTTAACGCGACTGCATGAAGTATCTTTTAAAAAAGGGTTTGTGAGTGGAATTAGGAGAAACGAAGATTTATACATCATCAAGTAATGGGAAATCGCCGCTTTAGGCGATACTCAGGTGGATGCGTGCAAGTAGAGCCTTGCTGTGAGTAGATTTCATTCCCCCTGTTCTTAAGCTAGATTCATCTACTAGCATTTTATGCGATTGGCAGAAATTTGTGGACGTATGGTCATAGCGATTTAATTGTTCCCATTGTTGAAAGATGGGTGTTTCCAGATTACTTTTCTTTTTTATTCAGAGACATTAAATTGTCTGTTTGGTTTGTGTTTCGGAACAAATGAACTGCTAAATATAGACCCTTATATCTTTATTGGACGAAACATTTAAAAAAAGAAATCGAGGTGACAATTAACCTATTAAGTTAATTTGTTCGTGTCTAATTTATTTTTCAAGTCATCATATGAATGCTTTGCACTTCGGCTGAAAAAATTTCCGATTATGTCACAGTTCCTGTCGCTATAATTATTAATTTGTAAGAAGTCAGAGAGCTGAGGTTGTCTTAGTTGACCATTGTGAATTTTGATTAAATTACTTCCATTTTGGTCACATTATAAGTTGATGCGTGTACGTACCAAATAAAAATGAATCGTAGCGCAATTTGTCAACTGTCGAAGCAATGCGGACATTGGTCCATTGTCCATCAAGCAGTCGACCACTGGTGAACGCGTAGGCTTCAACGTCAAAGTGTCCTCCTTCGCCTCCACCGGCAACAATAATTGTTTGAGAAACGCAGCTGGCCGAATGGAAGGCTCGAGGTTGCAGCATCGGTGGGAAATCCTTGCGATTCTTCGGGATCAAAATTTCGATGGTTTTAAGGATATTTGCACCCCTTTTTCCAAACCAACCGCGTTCAAGTTCAAATCCTCCTAGAACGACGAGGCTCTCCTCGGTGTGTACTGCTGCTGCGCCTGCTCGACCTGATCGCAGATTTGACTCCCCAGGGTTAAATCTCAATCAAATTTAGGATAACAAAAAACGCACTTTACTCTTATTCATCGATCATAAAATTTAATTTTCGAAAGGGTTTGATTTTAACCTCAGAATAATATAGGAGTATTGTAGTAGCGTTTCTTCCTTAATATTAATGTGGATACCGCTATCCAACTAAGTCGTTACATGCACTCGTCATGTCGTTACAGAAATCAATCGGAAGGTACCGTGACACCTCTACCATACCCTATTCTTGACAGGTGTATCTTGGAAGTAGGTCTGCGTAAATAAGTAGTATGTGTAAGAAATATTTCACGAAAAGAACATAATTTGTGACCACATTAAAAGTAAGCATCCTTCACTACTTCCAACGTAGAGCAGAAACTCCTGAAAATTTATGGTAACGTTCATTGACGTCACAACCTTTTGAGTGACCAGACAATTCGCCTTAAAAAGGTCGTCGTGAAAAGCAAAAGAGATAAAAATCTGGCAAATGGAGCACTTTTGAAGGTGGCGAATCGCGAGGAAGAAACTTTTACTGTGAAAGGATAGCATATTTCATTGAGGCAATCAAAACGTTGGTGAGTAATTACAAGTAAAAGCACAGCACCGTTTCAAGGGATCTGAAATGATGATTTTCTGAAAATGAGTTTTTGCAGATGCGCAAGGCTCTCAAATGTTCAAGTCACTGTGAGCACTGTGAGCGCACTTACTTGTAACTTTGTGGACACAATAATAATAAATACAGGAGGAATGTGGGAGAGAGCAAACCAGGACCTTGAGAATTTTCGTGAAATTTGGTGAAATTAACAGGTTTACGTGGAAATTTTAACCTTGGGAAAACAACGAGACGAGGTGGACCGTTCTTGACAGAAATGCAGTGCTGTCATATTTATCAACATTGTTTAAAGACAATGTTGACTGGGAAATGGGGTGATGCCACTACGCACGAATTTCCCTATGGTTGGTAAGCGCTGTTCCAAAACGAAGGAGGTGAGTGAATGTCAACGAATTCGCCACTGGGTCCATACCAACTCAGGTCTTGCAACCTGGTCAATGGCAACCTGGAATAGGTAGGGTGCAAATAAACTGACGACAAATTCAAAACTCATTGAAAAAGGGTGCTTTCTAAAGGTTCTAGAAACAACATGCACCCGTGAGAGTTTTTTTATCCACACTAAAATCCTAAAACTTACGAATCATTTGAGATATCGAAGCATTCCCAGGTTTTCAGGGTCCCGTCATTACTTAACCCTCCTATAATAAAAATTCTGTTGTTCACAGGGACGACGCAGGGCTTAATTCTTGGGGTCGTCATTGACAAGTTTTTTTTTATTACTCGACGCTTCTCAATGTCAAACATTCGCACATCTTTTGAGGCTTGTCCGTTTACCTTTCCACCAATCACGTACAGCACACCTGTAGAAGAAATCGGTTGAAGTCGGGTGAGACTCTAATACAAGACAAACGCATTGAAGTTTTTACATAATATTTCTTCACTTAAAAATAACAGAATAGCATGAAAGCATGCTGAATTTCAGGTCATTGTCTTAACACTGCTGCCAAAATTGAGTTCACACCTTGGAGGATAGCACTTTGAAATTCGTTAGACTTTTTCCACATAAGCAAAACGTTGAAACATGGTTGAGGTCCATTATTAACTAATTGAGTGCCTAAAATTGCCCAGTTTATAGCGATAGCTGCATTCCGTATTCCAGGGGGTTTAATCAAGCTAATGGTCTGCACATCGCATAATTACACAATTTTCGTCAGTGCCACACGCTGGCCATTGCATTACCTTTATTTATTGCAATGTTTTCTTGCCTAAATCCTTCGGCATGTGGGATTAAATGCACAGTTATGACTGCCAAAGTTTTATTTTCAGAAGCCTTGCTATAGCTCAAGACAAGCTGAGTCCTTTCGGCCTTCGCAGACATAGGTTCTGACCACTTCCCATAAATACCACAGCCAAGCACTGTACCCGATGCCTATGACCGACATGTAGAATCTCGCATAACACAAAGAGGGCCCCTAGCTGGACCCATTCTAGGTAAATTTCGGACAAAAATCACTTGCCACGCATAAGCAGAGCCGTGCAGTGCTCCTGCGACTTCATTCGTCCCAGCGAATTCTGGTATCCACAGTAGGGATCGAAGGAAGCTACAATCATCTCGGTACTTTCAGCAGCCTCTCCAGCCGGTTCACATAGTCCAACCCCAACTATTTCGTAGTGCTGAGCCCTCCGAGAAAGAATAATTGGCCATTCGTGAGTTTGACGTTGTTGAAAATCTTTCAGTTGATTCAAAACAGCCTCCAAATACTCCCTGAGGAAAAAATGACTTTTTGTATTTAGGTTAGCTTGGCATTTTTTTAAATAGATAAGTAGTATAAACGAAATTAATAGTTCACATAGTATTAAAGATTTTGTGCAAATATATTTAATTTTCAGTGATTGGTACATTATCGATGAATTCCAAAAACACGGGCATCGGACTGTCGGAAGTCGGGACTTCAAATAAAAGAGGAGTTTTTTAACAGATTTTAAATGATTTTAATTGTTGGTTTAAAGATTTCCGATATTAAACTGATATCTGTGGTAGCCTTAGTGTGATAGTGCCAGATCGCTTAGGGAGATTTGTATCCCTTGAAAGATCACTGTTGCAGAGACGGCTTTGTCGAAGCCTCTGCGAATTAACCCGGGCGTTAAATGGGCTTGTCGTTTTCATTCGTTATTT